CCTCAGCCCCTTGAGAGGTAAGGTAAGACTCCTCTGTCAGGACATATACAAGAGGTGCCCTAGGATACTGGCCTCAGGTCCTGGGGACCCAGATCCTCTGCCTTTAGGCTCTGGCTTTGGTGGCACCCACCAGTGAATGAGGGGACTAAGTCCACTGCTGCACACACTCTATCTACTGGCTCCAGCTTCAGCCTGCCCCACAGTGAATGGAGGGGACACCCAATTTCACTACTGCGCCTCCATTTCTCCAGTCTCTATGTCAAGTGACAACTTGGCCCACAGGCAGGAGTCCTTTGCTTCACACCAGGGGTCCAGAATTTGAATTCCTAAAAAACTTGGCCTGCATGTTAAGAAATCTTAAACCTCTGGAACTGACAGACCTCCAAGTTTGCAAAATGACACATCTTTGCTTACAAATTTGGCCTCAATACAAATTAGATAACCACAACCACTGGCCAAAATTCGGCACTTCTAATCAAAATGTCCTTTATTTATGGACCTATGCAACATCTTCAAACAGAATGGCAAGTAGTCCAAGGTTCTCTCCTCCCTCTATTCTCTCACTCCCCATTTCCAACTATGCGGGTCCAGTTTCTCCCCCATACCTACAGGCATTCCTCACTTTTCCTCCTATGAACTCCTTCTCTGTTCCTCCTCTTTCCCTCCTGGGCCCACCTCAAAATGCAAAGCCGATTCCTCACTCCTTTTCCCATAACACTGACAAGCCTCTCCAAGACCCCCACATCCCTCATTGGTTCATCAATGACAGTTCCCAAAAGACATTGCCCTGTGTGGCAGGATATGCAATCATACAAGGAAACATCTCTAGTCTCTCTAAACACACTCTTTTAGAAGCACAACCCTTGCCACTCAAAACTACTTCCCAGAGCTTATTGCACTTTCCCAGGTTCTCACACTAACAAAAGATAAACAGGTAAACATCTTAAATACACCTATAATATTCTTCACTCTAATATCCTAATCTACAGAGAACTCAGCTTTCTCACTCAGAAGGACACCCCTATAGTCAATGCCTCTCACATTAAAGCTCTTCTCGATACAGCCCTCCTTCTCAAACAAGCTGCCATACTCCACTGTCAGGGTCACCAAAGAGATAAATCCCCCTTGGCCATTTTAAGTAAAATCACAGACTAAGCGGCAAAACAGATTGCCCTCAGCTCCCAGAGCCCTCTACTTGCCCTGACAGCTACAACCTCAAAACCATCCCAACACCCATCTAACCCTTCTACCCCTGAAATCCTCTAATCTCTACACTCCCTTTTTCATCCCTCCACTGAAGTCTTACTGCAATTCATAAAGACTCACTTGTCCTTACAAACCCTAGACCAACAATTTCTAGAAAACCTCATTAAGACCTGCCCCGCCTGCCAACAGACAATCTTGGCACCAATCTTTCACCTCCAAAGTTCCCCATTCACCAGATGCAGGGCTCCCTCCCTACCATCGACTGGCAGACAGACTTTACTCACATGCCACCTGTGCATAGAGTGAAATTTTATCTCCGTGTATTCGTTGACATTTTCTCGGGGAGTCAAGGCATTCCCCACTACAAATAAAAGGGCCCCCACGGTTGCTCACTTCCTAACAGAAATTATACCACATTTTGGCTTCTCCTCCTCCCTCCAATCAGACATTGGGCCCAAATTCACCTCCCAGGTGTCTCAACAAGTCCCTCAGGACTTTCATATCCCTTAGAAATGTCATTTTCCTTATAGGCCTCAATCATCAGGAAAGGTCGAGAGGACAAACAGATCCTCATTAAAAAAAAAAAAAAAAAACTGTACAACTCAGCCCCTTTGAAGTCATGTTTGGCAGACTAAATGCCCTCCCATTCTTGAGCAGGACCTGCACAGCCACCTTCCAGCCTAATGGCCTTTACCCTGCCTCAACTCTACGCCTTCCTCACAGTGCTACAGGAAAACCTCTGGATGACTTCACCTAAATCTCCTCATTTGACAACCTCCAACACCTGGCCTGACAAAGGATTAATATTCTGAATATATCAGCAATTTTAAAAACTTAAAAAAAAAACCACCAATCAAGTAATGGGCAAAGCATTTCAATAGACAGTTCTCAAAAGAAGAAATACAAATGGCCAATAAATATATGAAAAAAATACTCAACATCACTAGCCATCAGGGAAATGCAAATCAAAACTATCATGAGACATTATCTCACCCCTGTCAGAATGACTAAAATCCTAAAATACAGAGAGTGATAAATTCTGGCAAGGATGTGGACAAAGGGGAACACTTCTACACTGTTGGTGGAAATGTAAATTAATGCAGCCACTGTGGAAAGCAGTGTGGGAATTCTCTAAAAACTTGAAATAGACCTGCCATATGATCCTGCAATCCCACTACTAGAAGTATACTCAAAATACTTGAACACAATGTATCAGCAACATATTTGCACAAACACAGCAGCACTATTCACAACAGCCAAAACTGGAAGCAACCAAGGTGTCCATCACCAAATGAAGGAAGCAAATGTGGTATATATACACGATGAAGTATTGTGCAGCTATAAAAAATGAAATTCTACTATTTTCAGCAAAATGGATGCAACTGGAGGACATCATATTGGGTGAAATATGGCAGACCCAGAAAGACAAATATTGCATGTTCTCCCTTACATGTGGGAGTTAAAATTTAAAGAGCAAACAGAAAGAAAAAAGAAAGAATTGTCTACCAGTATGGTTGCATAGTTTTATAAAACTTCTGTTTTATATCTTCAACAAACCAATGGCTAGGAATGTTGTACTACTATAGTTTTAATGATATGAGATTACTTGAAAAATTATTGTATATTTGGGGAAATGGTCATTTTCCCATTCAATAATTAATAGCTTTTGTCTATATTCCCATTAAACTAGGGACTTTCTGCTTTTCACTTGTTAAATTTATTTGGTGAGGTATTAAACCTTTTTTTTAGAAAACTTTTATTTAATAAATATAAATTTTGAAAGTACAACCTTTGGATTATAGCTGTTTTTCCCCCCGTAACCACCCTCCTACCCACAAACCATCCCATCTCCTACTCCCTTTGCCATCCCATTCTTCATTAAGATGCATTTTTAATTATCTTTATATACAGAAGATCAACTTAGTATATACTAAGTAAAGATTTCAACAGATTGCACCCATACAGACACACAAAGTATAAAGTACTATTTGAAGACTAATTTTACCATTAATTCACATAGTACAATACATTAAAGACAGAGATGCTACATGGGGAGTAAGTGCACAGTGACTCCTGTTGTTGACTTAACTGACACTCTTATTTATGATGTCAGTAATCACCCAAGGCTCTTGTCAATGAGCTGCCAAGGCTATGGAAGCCTCTTGAGTTCACAAATTCTAACCTTATTTAGACAAGGCCATAATCAAAGTGGAAATTCTCTCCTCCCTTCAGAGAATAAACCTTTTTACTGTAATGTAATTTTAGAATGTTATCTCAAAAATTTAAAAAGACAGAAAAGTTGAAAGAAGGAGGGTGGGAGAGAGAGAGGAGGAGGAGGGGAGGGAGGAAGGGAATATCATTATGTTCTTAGAATTGTATCTATAAATCACATTGAATCTGTTAAAAACTAATTAAAATAAAAATAAATAACCAACACTCTGAAAGAAACTTGAATACAATATTGCAATTACATAGCCTCAGTCTTTTAAGACAAAGAACCACAAAGAAATATTAAATTCTATGTAAAAGGCTTGTTTTTCACAGTTGTATGAGTCAGCAACTTTGAAAAACTTTCTGAGTATTGTAGAACATAACAAGCGAAGACACTGAGAAGTGGAGCTTGCAGTGTTACTGTCACAAAAGACTTACAAACAGGGAAAAGACAGACTGAATTGATCTACGGTACTGAGCTGAAATGAAATGGGAGATCACTATGAACTCATGGATTTTAATTTATAGAGATGTATATATGTAAAATAATTGAGGACATGAGTGTGCATGCACATGCATATAAAACCTAAGTCTACATGCCAACTAACAGCTCCTGCATTCCAAGGTGCAGCCCCATACAATAATCAAGACAGCCAAGGCCAACCTTAACACTCTCATTTTTCTTAATTACTATTTTAAAGGAAAAAGTGCTGAGACAGAGCAAGGTCATTTTCAGACAGGTCTGCATCAGCCCAGGCTTAGGTTGCTCCTTCCTCACATAATAAAATTGCTTTGTTCCTGTAAAGAACGTGATGGTCCCCAGCCAGACAACACCATTCTTCTTAATCTTTGAATCCTCATCAAGAACACAGTAATCCATCACTATATGTTTTTTCTTGTAAACAAGGAGAATAATACTCCATGGGCACATATACTGGCAGGTCTCTTCAAGTCCCCTGAGACAAGCAGACAGCAATTGGATTCACCAGCTGGAGGGGTTATCTCCTAGGAACTGCTCTGCACACCTCTAAGCCTAGACTCAACTCTAGTCTAAAACACAAAATTATGAATAAAGCAAGCCCCTCTGCATTCATGGGCAGTAAGGCAATAAACAGAAATTTGACACAAATGGAAATGTTTCAGATAATAAGCAAAACTGTTCTTAAAAGAAACAAAAGTGTCAAACCCCCAGAGCCTGGTATTAGCCTAGAATATAAAGGTATCAAAATTTGTTGACTGACTGAAAGAAAATGAACCATATATGGAAGTACATAGAGCATCCAAAGTCTCAAGTGATTCACGAAACTTTGCTGGTGTTCAACAAAAAATGGTATCTCAAGGAAAAATACACTTTGATTACTTGATATCCTAAAAATGATATCCTGAAAAGTAACAAAAAATGCTAATGTGTGAGCATTTCCACCTTTAGTACTATTAGTAAACTACACTCACATAATTAAGAAAAATATATTATTACACTCTATTAAAGAACCAATGCTACAAGTAAAACCTTAAAAAAAATGTTGATTTTGTGAAACACATCAATAGATGACATCACCAATGGTAAGGAAAGATTTGCCTACCTGCAGCATATCATCCACCATAGTCAGTATATACTGCACTGTCTGTTCCTTGGAGATGTGAGTCATCAGGTTTATAAATGTCTTGGCACACTAAGAAAAAAAATTAATTCCAATTATTGTTTTCATTTTCAAAAACAACATTTTAATGTACCTTTAGTAAATCATTTCCTTCATAAATTTTGATATAAATATATTAAGTTTTAGATACTAATGACAGAGACACAGAAAGAGAGAGATCTGCCATCCACTGGTGGATGGAGATCCAGGCTCTTGGGTTCCACCTGGCCCAATCCAAGGATCACATCCATTTGAGGAATGAACCAGTGGATGGAAGATCTCTCCCTCTTTCTCTGTGTCTCCCTCTCTCTCTCTAACTCTGCCTTTCAAGTAGACAAATAAATCTTTTTAAAAAAAATGCACATTCTCCATGACCTCTTTTGAAATTCCTTTCATATATTTTCTATCATTAGTACATCAGAGCACTTGTTCAAATACGAGCTGCTCAGCTTCTGATCAAGTTCTCTGCTGATATGCCCAGGAAAGCAGCAGAAGATGGCCCAGGTACTTGGGCCCCTGCCACCCATGTGAGAGACTGGAATGTAATTCTTGGTTGCTGGCATTTGTATTTGGGAGTGAACCAGCAGATAGAAGCCTCTCTCTCTCCTTCTTTCTTTTTCATTCTGCCTTTCCAACGCAGGGGGGAGAAAGGGGGAGGAAAAACCAGGTTCTAAATTCATCATATAAATAAAATGGAATACAATGCTCCCCCTTCAACATGGCTTTATGTACGCAACACCATTCAAGCATACGTCTTGAGTCATACTTTGACAAACTTTCAGTTTTCCTAAGGATGTATAAATTCAAGTACATTTCATTCAGTGTTCATTAACTCAATAAATCCTCAATGTAACAAACAGAATGTAATAAAGGTCATGTTACAATGAAATCATACCTTATCAAAATCATACTCATTCCAGAGCTTATCCCATACTTATGAACCATGTCCTCCATGAACAGAAAATCTACTTACCATAATGAATAACAGAACTGAAGAGATTACAAAATTAATACCTGTAACATCATTTAAAAAGTTAACAGTAATAAATAATTGGGTATTTTTAGTCAAAATACTAAAGGGGAAACTCTTTAACCTATTAGCCAAAAAATAAAATAAAATAAAATAAATTGCCTGTGACATTTCTGTCACAATTCTTCTTTTCAGATATACTGCTGTTTTGTATGGACAAAAGCAGACACTTCCTGACAACAACCAGTAGAAGACCAGATATTGCAATTAAGAAAGAATGGTTTTAACTTCTTAAGGGAACTGTCTTGACTTATTAACACCATTCTCCCAGTCTTACTGTGTACATGATACAGACTCATTTATGCCTTGGTTGCATAAACAACTGAACGAGATGTTTCTTCCAGTGCATGTGCACTTGGGGTAAGGAAACATTTTCAAAGGATGACACCAACAACAGACATCACAAAGGAAAGAAGGGAATAGATCTGATTGTACAATTTAAACTTTAATATGGCAAAGGGTACCATAAATGAAGTTTAAAACTCAGCCAACAGGCTAGAGAAATAAGACATATACAGAACCTTATGTATAAGTAACACATAAGGGAAACCTAACAAATCAGTAAGAATAGTAAAAACACCTCCACTGAAAAGTAGACACATAAAAATAAATAGAAGTAGTCACTATGGACTCAGCAGAGGTCAAAAAATCATTTTTAAAAGTGCAACACTACAATTACATTAAGATCCTATTTTTCACCTATCAAAATGACAAAAACATAAAAATGATTGGTTAGACCCAGAGTGCATACTACATTGCTGGCAGGCTTATAATTGGTACAAGCTAACAAGCAGGCATTTTCATGGCATATGTCAAAACTCTTACAAATGCTCAAATTGATCAATAATTACATTTCTAGAATCTATAATTATATTTCTAGAATCTACTAGAAGAAAAAAGAATGTTTAACACAAGACTGCTTATAACAGGGAAAAATGGCAATAACTAAAACATGGAGGGATTATGAGTCATCCATTAAATGGAAAATGACACAATTGCTTCTAAAAGCCATAGAAATATCTTTATATGGGGTGAGAGGAAATATAATCACTTAAAGGAACAAAACTATGTACACATATCACTCCATTTTTGCAAAAACAAAGTTCATTTTTGCATTAATAAACGTGTAGATTATATATGTGTAGCAAAATATCTAGAGAAGTATATACTGACGTGCTGCCAAAGGAAATTTTGAATAGAGTATTTTCAGGAAGAAATAATATTGCTGGGTTTTTTTTTTTCCTTAATAATACTTCCCTATTTTTCTGCAACAAACATGTATCTCAAAAACAGGTAAAACTAGGCCGGCGCCGCGGCTCAACAGGCTGGTCCTCCACCTAGCGGCGCCGGCACACCGGGTTCTGGTCCCGGTCGGGGCGCCAGATTCTGTCCCGGTTGCCCCTCTTCCAGGCCAGCTCTCTGCTGTGGCCCGGAAGGCAGTGGAGGATGGCCCAAGTGCTTGGGCCCTGCACCCCATGGGAAACCAGGAGAAGCACCTGGCTCCTGGCTTCAGATCAGCGCGGTGCGCCGGCCGCAGCGCTCTGGCCGCAGCGGCCATTGGAGGGTGAACCAACGGCAAAAGGAGGACCTTTCTCTCTGTCTCTCTCTCTCACTGTCCACTCTGCCTGTCAGAAAAAAAAAAAATACCAGGTAAAACTTCAGGGCTGGCGCTGTGCCATAGCAGGTAAAGCTGCCACCTGCAGTTCTGGGACCCCATATGGGCACCAGTTGGAGTCTCAGCTGTTCCACTTCCAATCTAGCTCTCTGCTATGGCCTGGGAAAACCGTAGAATATGGCCCAAGTCCTTGGGCCCCTGCATCATGTAGAAGACCCAGAAGAATCTCCTGGCTCCTGGCTTTGGATCAGCTCAACTCTGGCCATTGTGGCCATCTGGGGAGTGAACCAGTGGATGGAAGACTTCTCTGTCTCTGCCTCTGCCTCTGCCTCTCTGTAACTCTGACATTCAAATAAATAAATAAATCTTTAAAAAAAAAAAAGTAACACTTCAACATATGTAACTCCGTAAACATTTTAAACTGTATATGAAAAAGTCTAAAAAAATTAAAAGAAACAGTATCCATGTTTGCCACAAATATGGCAAATGTTAATAATTTTTCTATGTAAAAGGATTTCTAAACCAATCAAAAAGTACCAAAAACCTTACGAATTATAATGAAAAAAAACCATAGAACAATGGGAAAGAACTAAAGTTGGAAAGTAGTAAGTAATAAGAACTGAAGCAGAAGTTTTACCCTTTTTTGAGATACATGTTTGTTGCAGAAAAATGGGGAAGTACTATTAAAGAAAAAAAATCCAAGCAACATTATTTCTTCCTGTGTCAGCATGTCAGTATATACTTCTCTAGATATTTTGCTATGCATATATGATCTACACATTTATTAATGCAAAAATGAACTTTGTTTTTGCAAAAATGGAATGATATGTGTACATAGTTTTGTTTAAGTAGTAAGAACTAAAATAGAAAAAAATTCTTTAAAAAAAGTTAAACAATTTTAAAACTTCACATACTCTGAAATAATCACTTTGCTTCTGGAAAGCTATTCTAAAAAGGTATTCAAAAACGTAGAGAAGGTAGTCTAAACATACTCAGTACAACATTACTTTCAAAATTAACAAAGAAAATTGGAAATCACTTAAATATTTTCCAGTAAAGGGATTTTAGTTAAATTATGATCCATACCTACAATGTAATATACAACAACTAAGATTTTTCTAGAATTCATTGTGACATGGGGATGTGCTCATATGGGATCACCTGACTGCCTTCAGTTTGAAGCATTTCTTGCTTCTCTTCAGGACTTCTTTTCATCTCAAATCTTTGGATAAACTCACAATCTTCAGCAGAAATCATCTGCCCCCTAGAAAGCAAGAATAAGTTATTTTGTTCAATAAGAACTGAAAAGCCACAGTGAGCAAACAACAGAGAATTCCCTACCTTTCTCCTCTCTCCTTGGTAGTCTGAAATAAAGTTAGAAGAGGCTACTGTTTTGAACAAAACTCCCATACTAGGCCCCAACAGACTAAATAAAAACCAAAGGAGAGTCACTCATCACCAAACAGAAACTAAGTTGAGAATATTCCTCCTTGAGAAATCAGGAGAGAAAGCAGCCAATGTCTCCATTGCTTAAATCCTTACCAAAAAATGAAACCAAAAGTTCACTGGTTATTTTTCTAATGTCTCCCTGCTCCTGCCTTTCAAGAAAAGTAACTTTGAAATTACCACTTCACTTTTTGTCCTTTGTTTCTGCTTTCTTCAGTCCTTTTATATTTGTTATTATTGACCCCACTCGTATGACTGGCAGGTTATGTTGAAGTGATGACTGGTATGTCAGTTCCAACCCAAACAATCTGTAAGCTCTTTTAACAGAGGTCCATTTCATACCCTAGTGTCCCCACTCAATACGCTGAACAGCAGGCACACACAGCACACGGACATATAGAGTGGAGGAGTTTTATATAGGAAATTGTGAGCTAGACAATAGAATAAAGAACAGAAATAGGAAAAAGAGGAAATATAACATATGTAGCACAGAGGCCCATGGAACAAAAGAAACCAAAGAGAAAGCAATTGAAAAACTCCTTGTAACTAAAAGTGTTCCAAATAGAACACTCTGCCAGTCAGCCACTGCTTTATGATCAACAATATCATTCTATTTAGGTTACAAACAGACTCAGGCTTTGTAAACATCAAATTCCATATCCTCTAGTCTAAATGCACTCGAGCTGAAGAAAATAGGGAACAGAGCTCAGACCTCTTAACTTCACAGGGGAATTAAACAATTACACAGATACCAATGAACAAAGAATTAGAAAGTCTCTACTCCTCCTTTCCTTGTCATGATAATCCATCTTCTTAACATGGGAATCCAGCAGTCATCCCAGAGTTCTCTTACCTGCTGATGACTAAGATGTTCTCAAATCCATACAAATTCTACTTATCTCAATCTTTTGCCTCTTGCTATCTTTACACTGAAAGCAGAAGAATCCATGCAAGAGGCAAATCTGATCATCTGACTGTCAGCTGTAAATGTCAGCAGTTTCCAACAACCAGTGACTAAAACCATACTCCTTGAAGCCCTGCTGAAGATGGTGAATGACCCGAACTCATTAAGCTTTTTCATCTGCTTTACATGACAAGCTTCCTTATTATTACTCTTTAAATCAACCACAGCTTAAGAATCACCTTGAGAGGCCGGCACTGCAGCCTAGTAGGTTAAGCCTCCACCTGCAGTGTCAGCATCCACTATGGGTGCTGGTTCAAGTCCCAGCTGCTAACTTCCAATCCAGCTCCCTGCTGATAGCCTGGGAAAGCAGTGGAAGATGGCCCAAGTGCTTGGGCCCCTGCACCCATGTCAGAGACCGGGAAGAAGCTCCTGGTTCCTGGTTTCAGATCTGCCCAGCTCAGGCCACTGTGGCCATCTGGGGATTGAGCCAGGTGATGGAAGACGTCTCTCAGAGTCTCTCCCATTCTCTCTCTCTCTCTCTAACTCTGCCTCTCAAATAAATAAATAAAATAAATCTTTAAAAAGAAAAAATTCACCTTGAAAAGTACTAATTGATAGTATCAAATCCAAATTACTTCCAGTAACACACAGGACCTTCCCAATCAGACCCTGGCACAATCAGACCCTCTCTGGCCTTCTCACTGCCTCCCCACCGACTGCCTCTAAAACATGAGTGACTCCCACTTTTTGCTTCCCTGCCTTTGTCATACGGTCTAGTCTACTTAGAAGACTGTTCCTTGTGGTCACACAGCTAAATACTTCAAATCTTCATTCTTCAAATCTCAGTTCAAGGACCACCCCCTTTAGGAAATCTCCCTGGTCTTTTCTCATCAGATCCTGTGCATCCTTCCATTATTGAACTGAATTAAAATGTTGTTTGTACATCTGATTTCCTCACGAATGTGTAAGTTCCTTTAGGGACAGTACTCTGTATCTTTTATCTTTTTCTGTAGCCCCAAAGACTGGGAAAATGCTTCAGAATTGTGAGGTAGTCGATAAATGATAAGTGACTAAATTAACAAATAAAAGGATTGCTTTCATATAATGTATATCCCTTCTACAGCAAAACTAACGGTTAAGTATCAAAATCAGATTCCCCAATTTGTTTTCCAAAACACACATGCAAATCTGAGCTGAATTTCCTTAGTAACTCATTCTGTTACAAATATAACAAATAAATATCAAATTAAGTCGGGATAAAATATGGTCAAAAACAAATGAATGCTCATTTTACAGATACATTTTACAGGATACTGAAACACCATCACACTAAACCTTTTTTCTTTTTCAATTTTGGATTAACATGCAATGCTTGCACACTTTTAAGGGGTATAATGTAGCTTTCCAATATATCTACATAACTTAAACCAACCATACCAGGCAATCAGCCTTTCCATTTCCTTATCTTTAAACTAAATCTACACACCAAGAAGAAGAATCAAAATGTATTAAGTGGAGTCAATATATTAATGATTGTATTCAATTGTGCTAATACTTTAAATGCTTCATTTTTGCAACAAGTCTGTAGGATAGTTATTCCTATTTCACATTTACTTTATTGAACCTCAAGGAAGGTAAGCAATTTGCCTTAAATCACTCTATTACTAGAGAAACAGAATTCAAACCCAGTCTCACAAATTCAACACTCAACTAATTTGTCATGTGAGCCACTCTGCAACACCACTGGTCCCCTCATTAACCCATCATGGCACACTAAAGAGTCTGGCTCACTTTACTCATTATCCCCCTCCTCCCTACACAGCCAGTCAACTTTCACCCATGTTTCCCACTCATTCAAAAAGTACTTCTTAACAGAGATCAAATGTACCATGAGCAGCTCCACTTCCCCACTGGAGGCCCAAGCTGTTTCCACCACTCTACCTTTTCTCTCTAACACAGGAATTATTCTGAGGAAATGTTTCTTCCACATTTATCAGTACTTTTTCCAGTATTTCTCTCATAGAAGCATGACCATGCAAAAGCACATGATTATCCATGATTCACAGCAAATTGGTACTCACTGAAGATAGGACTGCCAGTTCACTTTGTTTGCACGAACTTCTGCAGCCTTGGCAGCAATAATATTGGTTGGGACAGCAGCATCCACAGCACCTCGGATATCCATTTTGGTCATTTAAATTTTATAATCTTGAGTGTTTTTCAACAGATCTTCAATTTAGATTCAATGCAAAAACAGAATACCAGGCATTATTACTTCACAACTATCCTGTCTGAAAGCACTATCATTCATTATATTCCAAATCTTGCCCAATTATGCACTGATTCATAAAAGCATTTCCTAGAGGCTTTTTCTTTACTAGGAAAGCTCTTTTAAATTGTCATCTGTATTGCAATGAGATTTGTCAGGTGACCACTTAAGATACGGACATCAGAAATCATGATTAAGTAGACTAGGCACACAAGATAGGAAACTATTTTAAATTTATACAATTTAGACAATTTTTGTTTTCTGACAGGTAAGTGCAATTACTATATTAATGTTTACTAATCAACATTTGAAATAATAAAAATTATAATCTCTTTCTAAAATTGATCCCTTCAAGTTCAAATATAAAAAGTGGGACAGTAATTTCTCGGAATGCAATGGTTTCCCTATCAATCAAAATTTACAGTATTTTCAAAATCAATTTTGGAAGAAATGTTGAACAAACGTCTGTTACAATTTAGGTACAACCAACAGAGAATCAAGGCTGAAGACAAGATCCTACAATAAAAGGCCTTTCATAAGGACACAGATTTTTATTACAACACAAAACATAGGCTCCCATTCGCAAAATATAAATTCAGGGTCTGGCCACAAGAAGCTAAATTCATAACTCAAAATTCTATTGCGGGTTCCCAACGACCTTAGTCAGTTTGGAACGTTATCTCTAGATCTAAGGATCTGCTGCCTAAACAAGACCCAGGCCTAGATCGGGCAGGAACAGGCCTCGTCCGGGCCAAGCTGGAACTCTGCAACCGAGGAGACAGCCCCAGCGGCCTTTCCAAACCCATCCCCCACCACGACCGGGCCCGGCCCCTCAGTCATTCCACCTGCAGGGAAGGCTCTGCCTGTTTTCGCAAACCTGAGGCCTAGAAGGAAAGGAATTCCGGGGCCAGAGGAAGACGGGCGTGGACAAGCAGCGAGAGGCCGCACGCACCAGCGAAGCTGGAGAAACCGCAAGGGTAGCCTCACCTGGGCGGGTGCCGGAGACAAAACAAGCACCGGGACCCCCACAACGCACCCAAAGGTGGCAGGGAGGGTGCGGCGGTCCGGGACGCCGGGGCCACAGCTGGGCTGGGGAACCGAGTCAAAGTCGAGCGGCGTCCTCTTTCCGGTCTGGAGACCCGAGCAGCGGCGGGACACCCGGAGACCAAAAAGTGAACGGGATCCCAGCCCAAAGAGACGTTTAGGACCGCACCGGCTGAAGGAAGTCTGAGCCGCTGCAGTAGAATGACAGGAGTGCCTGTCACGTGATCAGAAGCACGTGACCGCTGCGGAAGCCGGGAGGGGCCAAAACAGCCTAGGGAGAAGTGTTGCGCTGAGGAGGGCTTGCTCCGTGGGAGGAGCTGGACACCAAGCGACCACGAGGTGGGCTCTGAAGGGACGCGTAGCTCGCTGTGTGGCCAGCCTGCTCTGGAGGAGAGGGGCTCAGCAGGCCGGGAACGCGGACCTAGGACCCCCAAACCCAGCGCTCCGCCTGGAGGCAGCGAGCAAGGCCCAAGCCTTAGCCCTGTGATTCTTTTCAAAAAGTTAGCTTTAGTAAATAGATTGGTTTTCATCTGGATTTAACAGCTCAGTGAAGAAGGCATTCTTATTCTTATTTTAAATATAAACCGAGGCTGAGAAGTGAGTCATACGGTTACAGATTCCACAAATACTGTATGTTCCATGCAATATTTGCAGTTAATAATAAAGTTACTCATTGGTAATCTACATTTTAGATTCAATTGGGCAACCAGTATGTTATACTGACAACCCTATCCTCAGCCCGTTTTCCTTAGGAAAGGACACAGCTCCTCTCTCTTTCTTCAAATAACAAATACAACTGCACTGCTATTAGGCAGGTATGTACATACAACAGCATGTTTTTGTTAAAACTGAAAGATTTATAAATGTACCAAATACATTTCTACTAAAAATGCCAAATTAAGATCGAGTTTTAAATCAATATTATACATTGATTATGAAGAAACACACAGTAACAGTGTTTTTACTGTTTATGTTTACAGCTGTAAAAAATTACCACAAATTCAGTGACATAAACCAAGATAAATTTCCTTTTTAGGTTTTTTTTTTTTAAAGATTTGTTTGTTTATTTGAAGAGTCACAGAGAGGCAGAAGCAGAGGCAGAGAGAAAGAGAGCAAGAAAGAGGTCTGGCGTCCACTGGTTCACTCACCAAATGGCTGCAAAGGCTGAAGCTGAGCTGATCTGAAGCCAGGAGTCAGGAGCTTCTTCTGGGTCTCTACGTGGGTGCAGAGGCCCAAGCACTTGGGCCATCATCCGCTTTCCCAGGGTGCATTAGCAAGGAGCTAAATGGGAAGTGGAGGTCAGCCAGGTCTTGAAACAGTGCCTGTACTCCAGGTGGCTGCTTTACCCTGTTTGCTACAACACCCGCCCCAATTTATTATCTTCTATTAAGTTCAGTATAAGTGTGGGGCCCAAATGTGGTGCAGTGGCTTAAGCTTCTGGCATCCCATATCAGAGTACCAGTTCAGCTTCTGTGCCAGCTTCCTGTTGATATATGCTTGCGAAAGCTCCTGAAGATGGCCCAATTACTTGGGTCCCTGCCACTAACATGGAAAATAAAAATTAATTTCTTAATTGACCCTCAGTTTACTAATCCAAGTCCTTCATTCTGTTATAATTTGTTCCTGAAATTGATCAATGAAAACAGCAAAATAATGCCACCAACCAAAGTGATTGACAATGAACAGATGGCAGCAAAGATCTGGCTAACAATAGTTTTTTGTTTTTTGTTTTTTTGACAGGCAGAGTGGATAGTGAGAGAGAGAGACAGAGAGGAGGGTCTTCCTTTTTGCCGTTGGTTCACCCTCCAATGGCCACCACGGCTGGCGCGCTGCGGCCGGCACACCGTGCTGATCTGAAGGCAGGAGCCAGGTGCTTCTCCTGGTCTCCCATGGGGTACAGGGCCCAAGGACTTGGGCCATCCTCCACTGCCTTCCTGGGCCACAGCAGAGAGCTGGCCTGGAATGGGGGCAACCGGGACAGAATCCAGTGCTCCGACCGGGACTAGAACCCAGTGTGCCGGCGCCGCTAGGTAGAGGATTAGCCTATTGGGCCACAGCACCAGCCGCTAACAATAGGTTAATATTTCATGCATATCCTTCATCAAAAGATGATTCTGAAAGGCACAGCAAATATACCCACGGTCCTAGGAGACATATATCATGAGCAAATATATGATGCATACATACACATTCATGTATACAATCAGACCTCCATACTCATGAGTTCTGCATCTGTGGATTCAAACAGCTATGGTTCAAAAATATTTTTATAAAGTAATATGTACTGAACATATACAGACTTGTTTTTCTTGTCATTCCCTAAACAACACTGTATAACAACCATTTATATAGCATTTATATTGTATTATATATTATGAATAATATAGAGATGATGTAAAGTATACAAGAGGAGGCCCACCTTGTGACATTAAGCTGCTTGTTGCAATACCAGCATCCGATATCTGAGTGCTGGTTGGAGTCCCAAGTGCTCTGCTTCTGATACAGCTTCCTGCTAATATGCCTGGAAATGCAATGGAAGGTGGCCCAAGTACTTGGACTCATACCACCCACGTAAGGAATCTGGGTGGAGTTCCTGGCTCTTGGCATCAACCTGGCCCTGCCCTGGCATTTGCAGCCATTTGAGGAGTAAATCAGCAAATGAAAAATATCTCTTTGTATCTATCTTCTCTCTCTATGTCACTCTTTCAAATAAACAAATAAATCTTTTAAACTTTTTTAAAATTAAATAAACAGGATGATGCACATAGGGTATATGCAAATACTATACCACCTTATATAAGGAACTTAACTATCTGTGGATTTTGATATGCACAGGAGTTCTGGAACCAATCTTTGGGTGCCAAGTTAAGAAGACTTGTTAAGGATGTGGAAGATGAACTCAATTTGTTGAATATATTTTTTATTACCATTATTTTTCTCCTGACAATATACTTTTTTCTGTTTTTTTCTGAAGCTGACTGTAACTTGGTAGCATTCCTATTTTGCCAATTAATAAATTTTCTCATTGTTTAAGGCAGTCTGACTTTCATTGTTAGTTACCCCAACCAAATATATTACCCTGTCTGAGTTCTAACATATATAAAGAACTCACTTAACAAGTTTTCTTAACTTGAATAAGATTACATAGGATTAACTAGAATAGGATTTTATTAGACGTTTGGAGAAAAATCTTCCACTTTAAAATGATCAGAGGGTGGAAAAGGAATCTCTTCAGTCTAAAACAGAAGAAATTTTATAAACCTCATCATTACCAATATTTTATTCACAAAGGTGAACAGAGCTTACATTTGACCACACAAATAGAGGAGTGCTAGTCAACGGAAATTCTATTATAAAAGATTTATCATGAGAAACTTACTGCCCCCTAGTGATTATGCTGTTAGCCAACCTTGAGAAGTTTTTGCAACTCATGGAATGAATTACTAGTTTATGGGAAGAATGGTTTTCTATTCTTTCTCAATCTCCTTGGGAACAATAGGCATTTGCAAGAAGTTAGCCTAGTGTAACCCAAGAGTAACTCTGGGTATTGATGCCAAGACCTCATTACAAACAGTTCCAACAGATTTCCCTAACAGCCTCAGTATGTACTGCAGGGTATTGCCAAAGCAGCTGTAATATCAGTCACACAAGGTTTCATTTACATCAGTACCAGTGCCCGAAATTCCTGTGGCAACCATGCCTTGAGTTCTTTAAGTAAATGAATTTTAGTATGTTGTGCCAGTAACCAATAAGAACAATTTCCCTCAATCTGAAATTTAAAAACATGGTCAGTGTGGTAGGCAGCTTCTAAATAACTCAGAGGGATCCCTTCCTTTCAATGATTCAATCTTTCTGTAATCCTCTCTCCTTGAGTGCAGGATAGCGCTGCTGACTTTCCTGTAAGATAGAGGATGTCACTTCTAAGACCAGGTCACAAGGCACCATGACTCTTGTCTTGCTTGCCTTCTCATGAGTTCTTTCCACTTGCTGACTCTGATGAAGCAAGGCTGCATGCTGTAAGCTGCCCTAGGGAGAGGCCACATGACAGGAACTTCAGGGTAGCCTCTAGTGAACAGAGAATTGAAGTCCATAATCCCTCTCTGGACCTGCATATTCTTTGTCTCCTCTTCTTGAGGGAAGAGTGTTGACTGGGCTTTGCTTGGATCAGGGTTACTCAAATAGTTGAACTCGTTTAGCACTTTCCTCAATCTCTGTCAATCTAATTGGTTACTGTCACTCGCATGAGCTAGGAACCAAATATCTTACTGGTATTATTGGTACATTGATCTTATTGATATATTAATAAACAGCCCATTCACCCTCTCCATATAGTCTCTGAGAACACCAAGGAAGGCCATCAATGTTACCTTACCACTACACACTCGCGTGTGCACGCACACACACATATACACACAGAAAGGTGAAAAAGTAGTATATACTGGGGAAGAGACACCAAGATGGTGGAATACAGAAGGAGTTTACTACTCTAGTCTAGGATGTGGACAGACTGCAATCTCAGGGAAGAGTTAGGGCGAAAATGGCAGAGGCAACCACACAAATTAGAGAGACACGATGGATCTACGTGGAGGATATGGACATGCACAATTCAGGACCCCAGTAGCCAAGAGCCTCAGCACCAACTTTGGAGAGTGAGGTGAGACCAGACTGTGGCAGCCCAAGCCACTGGCAATAAAGCTGTGGGAAGAGCCCGGTGTGAGTCTGGTTTGGTGCCCTGTGGAGGACACTATACCAGCCAACCTGGAGGAAAAGTTGTCCTGCAACTAGCCATGAGTGGGCAGGCACCATTTTAGACATATGTAATAGCTGTGACAGCTCATGCAACCAGCCAAGCGGAGACACCTGAGTCTGGCTTGGAGAATTGACAGGGGGATGGGTGCTTGTGACTGTGGGAACCTTGTGTACTGGGACTGTGAAAACACTGTGGCTGCGTGGGAGAGTGCAGGGTGTGGCTGGGTCTTTAGGCAGTCATTGTGGGTGGCTCCAAACATTCAGGACTCCCTGATTTCTGGTAAGGATCACTGACACAGGATCTGTGCTCACACCAAGGACTGAGTGAATCCTTTGTGCAGTGTTGATGAATATTGTACCCACAGGGACTAGCACCCAGCATTTGTCTCTTTGGAGGAGAGGAGGTGAGCATGAGACTACACCAACAAAGCTAAACAAACCTCCTCTCTTATTAAAAAAAAGAGATTTACCAGGCTAA